TGACAAAAGTTATAAGACATGGCAGTCCCCAAACCTAGTGACGCGGAAAATTGCAAGTTATGCCCAGGATATAATTCTGAAAATTTGGCATGCAAGATGACGTGAATTCACCTACTGTCAACACAAGAAAATCCAATATTTTCCCTTGAACTATTATCTTCAACAATAGATACACAATACATACACCTTCAAACGATGAAGTTGAAGCAAACACCTTCAACCAAAAACCCATAAAATCTGCAAAAAGTCAGGTACTCAAAACTCCAAACAACAAAACACCCAGCACCCCAAGTAAACCCAAGCTTGAATCTGACCGAAAAAAATCATCATCTTCATTCCTCATTGAGCTCGATTTTTCATTTACCGAATATGAATGAAATTTGGGAACCTAGCATTTCGGGAAGGATGAGATTATCTTTTTCTTGAGTCGGCCTTTAAAGCCTGTTTGGAATGGGTTTCAGAGAGTAATTGGAATCGAAAAATAAGTTTAATTTTCTCAATAAGCAAGAAAAAGAAAGCTGCTATGGTACTTAACAGCCTAAAATTGATCAAAATTTTAAACAGATGAAAACATTATAATCGAAAAAAGTACGCACATCTGAACATATCCACAAGCAGAAACTGGTATTAGAAAAAGAACAGAAAAGGTAGTACTGGAGATGGCGAGAACCTGAGGCTTGGCCATGTGACTGCGACCCAATTTGCCAGTTTTTACCATAGATCCCGCTGCTCTTGGCCACTCTAAACGACATTAAGATCTTATCCTTCGTTCGTTCAATTTCTGCCTCGCAAGCTCTCCGGAGCTCATCGTCGTCATCGACGCTCGATTTCGCCATTTCTCCCTCTAACTCGTCTGATTCTGAAGGAAATTTGAAATCGAATTACGTTTTGGGGGTTGGGGCTTTTAGGATGTATATTAATTATGTTGTTAGATGATAAATTATTAATTAAACGTATTATTCGATTTCATTGATTTTCGGCGGTACTTGGCCCAATTTCCTCTACATTAAGCCTTGTTTAATGGCCATTATAAAGAAAAAAAATGGAAAACATGATGTTTTAAATAGTGATTTTCAGAAAATGTATTGTTAAAAAATAGAGAAAATTTTTGGATTTATGTGTAAAATATTTTATTTTGTGAATTTTTTTTTGAAATGAGTATGAGAAATAAAGATTTTTAATTTAAAGAGAGTCAAACATGAGCTAAAGAAGAAACATTAATATACATCCATTGACTTCAAAGTTTAATATATTAAAAGATTAATCGTTCAAGTTATTTCATATACACATAGAACATAAATTTTACGGTCGTTAGTATGAACTTTTATGAATTTAAGCAATTATTATTTTATATATTCGTTGGGCTTTATATGATCTCAAAAAAGTTTATTATTTTATGTATTTGGCGTGGTTATTAATTTACTGCACTGGCCCAAATCGGGATCGAGTAATTTTTTATTTAAACAAGATTATTAATATATCGAACATTCATTTGTTAATGTTTTACTATATTACACACTTATCTATCACTTATTTTTATCTATATATAATTTAAATCATTTATAAACACTTCTAAAATATATGCTCTAAATATACTTTTAAATAAAGTTTGTAGTGCTTTCAACCTATAAATAAATAGATTTTCAGTTAAAAAATTATTGCATCTTTATGTTCAAAATAAACAACTTTTTTATTTACACGCAACAAAAAGTAACACATTTATTATTCAAATACATTTAAAAATAAATAATTTAAAAGTAAATTTAACATACTATAATATTGTACTAATTTAGTCAAATAAGATCTTTTAGACTGTGCTCGACGGCGTCGACATTCTAAGAAAAATGCAATTATATATATATATCTAATGGATAAAAAAAAAAAGAGAATTCACATAATCAATCTAAATTTATTAAAAAAAAATTCACTTCAAAGCATTGTATGTTATAGAGCTTGTTTTCTAAAACAAATTATATAAATATCGGGACTGTATATTTGTCTCAATAATTTATATTTACTTTTTTGTGTCCATGCTTACCGCTTTCCAGGGAAAAAAAATTAATAATAATAATAAGTCTCCTAGGTCAGTGGTGGCCATAATTTTGTTGAAAATTTAGCCACTTTAGCCGAAAAATTTGCCCACCTATTTGATAGATAAAGTGTTGACAGTAAATGATTACGTGCAAAAAACTGACTTTTTTTTATACAATCTAATTATAGCATGATTGGGACATTAAGAAGTGGGCAAAATTTCTTGGCAATATAGCACGATTGTTTTGTTGAGTAGATTTGCTGTACTTGCACGATGACAAAACTATTGGTGCAGCAGGCACCAACATAGCCCACCTTCGACAACGACCATCCAATAATATAGTCACAAATGTATTATCAATTAATGATATTCAAATCATGCTATTTTGCCAAAAAAGTTTGGCAAAAAAGTTGGCATACTATCATGATACTCGAATCATGCTATTTTGCCAAAAAAGTTTGGCAGAAAAGTTGGTATAATATCACATCGCATTCTATCATTAGATTATTTAAAACACAGTCAACTTTTTCACTCAACTATCTTCTATCACACTTCATATGTCATCGTCAAATCTTTCTGACAAAGTGGCATAATCCATGATATTCATTTAGAGATCATTACTTTGAAGCTATCGTATAAATAAAAAACATTAGCACTCTAAGGGGTGTTTGAGCCCTTTTTTTTTAATGCATTTTGCAATAATGTTATGATGAAAAATGTGTGGCTAAAAAATAAGGAAAATTTTTGAATTTACGTATAATATTATTTTATTGAAAAATGTGATTGAAATTGGTCAAATCGCTGTTTAAGAATGAATTTTAATGGGAAAACTAGAGCTCAAACGTTAAATGAATAATATTATTCTAAATTATCAAAGACCAAAAATTCAAGTATTTTTGTTTGCGTGTATTCATTTTCATTAACTATTTGACACTTGGCACTTGTTTGGTTATTGTTATAATCGGTCAAATAACTTTTTATTCAATATATTCGATAGATCCAAAGCCAATTTATTATTAGTTTCTGTCACTTATAAAATCGTTTTATCTACAAATTTATCAACAATTTTGCCTTTAAAGTGCAATATTCAAATTCCTAATTTATGGTCCTTATAAATCGAGTAACATAAATACTTACAATAGTTTCATTCACAACATTAGAACAAATTTCAATAACACAAGACTATAAAACCTAGTGTTTCATCTTAAAATGTCTACATCATTAAAAGGAGGAGCACAAACTCTTATATATTAGTCTATATTTCGATAATTATCCAATGTGAAGTTTATCCCTTAAAATATCCATATAGAGTGGTGGCTCGTTTGAGCAGATTATTCTTGAAATTTGTGTACTCATTTTTAGTCTTAATCGGATCAAATTGTTTATTGAAGCTTAATAGCTTTTGATATCATATTATAACTTGAGATTCCATTAAGAGTAACTCACACCCTTATATATTA